AACATTTATTATTATTACTTGGTGCTCAACATATAGTTGGATTAATACTCAATCGACTCAACGATCATTTCAGTTTTACTGAAAAAACGTTTATCATTCTTACTTGTTAAACAACACATAGTTGGATTAATATTCATTCGACTCATCGATAAATTAGCTTTCAATAAAAAAAGCTTATCATTCTTACTTGTTAAGCAACATATAGTTGATGTTTAGATTTATCGGATGCGACATTAGTTTTGGTTAAAATAAAAAGTCTACTTGAACGAATTGGTTTTCAACATATTATTGATATTTATATTAATCTGACTGACGATTATTTTAACTTCAGAAAACAAAAGTTACTTGAACAATTTACGTTAAGCGTTTTAGTGTGCGTTATCACTGGAAGCTAGTCGTCGAGATCGATTGCTGTTTTCTTTATTTATCTTTGTCTACATAAACGTATTACCTTTATTGATTGTATTTTCTAATTTTGGTTGAAATATATTTGACGTGCCGACTGAATAAGTATATATAAGAGATTATTTAATATTAAAGATTGAAGATTGAAGGAATAAAAGATAGTTTCGTTACAATATGAATTCTTCGTCGGGTATCGATATACACAGTGTTTTGTATCCTTTGACTTCGATTGAAATGGCAACGACTCTTCAGGAGTTAAATCTAAAAATTAATGGATTTGCTTCTCGACGTATATATCACATTACTTGTTTATTAAATCGTATCTTTGGTACGAAATTTACACCTGAGCAGATAGGTATTCGTCTGGAAAATTGGGAGTTACTGATGCCGATTTATAAAGACTTTATTGGAAAATTGAGTTCGATGGAAGTCGACAAACTCATAAAGGATTATTATTCTACTCAGCTGCACAACTTTTCAGCATCGCTTATCAATTGTTTCATACCTCAGGTTACTCATTGTATCAATCATAGTTGCTCGAAAATTGAGTTGAGAAATCCAGTTGCTCATCACGATGTAACGATTTTCTGCGCTGGTGAGAGATCGAAGAAGGGAACAGTTTTTTTCAAGGAATGTGTTAAATGCAATTATAAGTATTTTTACAATTACTACGTTCGTCCCGATGGTCAAAAAATGCTGATGATACATCCGGATGATGAAATTTTCGTTGTTTTTTCGAATTATGGATATGAAAAACGTTTTCTTATTCAAGTCGATAGCGATATTTTATTTAAACATTGTGGTTTCTCGAATTGTGCTAACGCTTTCAATTATTTGAATTGTAAATACGAAGGAAAAGATGGTGACAAGATGAATCGTTTTCATCTTCAAAAAACATGGTTTCTTTGGCGCCTTGGACAATTTTGTGCAACCGAAAACTTCCGTATGCCTGTTCCGGATCAGCAAGATTTTCATACGACGCTTCTCGATATATTACCAGATATTAGAGATTTGTTTACTAGAAAATGGGGTAGAAAAGACTATCATAAATATTGTAAAGGACCATGTAGCGCTACTATAGTTCTGGATGGACATCAAAAAGCAACAAGAAGAGTTTGTGCAATAAAAAATATATTTATTTCTAGCATCGATGGATCTATTCGTGACGTCAAAGTAGGATGTTCTGCTACACCTGCATATAAGAGTAAAAGATGTCGTGAACATTTATCAACGAACAATGATGATAACAATGATACACCAGAAGATATAAACACACAATTTCCTCATGTTCGTCGTCTACATAGAAAAAAACGAAGAATTCAGAGAGTTCGATTTCATCTTCGTTGTAAAACATTAAAATCGTTACAGTACAAACGCATATTGCATCGTACATCTGGTATCGTGGCAGCAGCTTATAATTGCGGATTTATCTGTAGCATTTATGAATTATTTGGATGTGAATCTGTTACACAAATATATAACTTTCTCGTGTATATGTGTCAAAATATCGAAAACTTTCCTGAGGTCTTAATCTATGATGATGCATGCCATTTAAAATTATTCATTAAAAATTCTAATAATTTCATTCAAACAACTCGTGCAAGACAAAAGTTAGAGAGACTAAAAATTTTTTGTGATAAGCTGCACTATCGGAATCATGTAGATCCTTGGTGTCGTCGAAACACTAATCCATATAAATATCCAATTGCTAATTCTACTAATACTGAGATATGTGAACAAATTTTTGCATGGCTCGCACAGTATAAAAATATCGTTAGAGGTTTCAACGAATCTACTTTTTTAATTTATATCTGTCTTCTTTGCGATTTATTCAATAGTAATAAATATGACAATTTACGAAAAGAATGTTTGTCATCACATACACATTCAACTACTAATATGTAATACTTTTAATTGTAAACGTTATTAATCGCTCAATATTTTTATGTATAAAAATGTTTGCCATATTAGTTGCTAAAGTAGAAAAAAGATACTGTTTTAACAGTTAAGTACCTGTTTCATGTATTAATTACTGTTCAAGCTTTAGAAATAAATTATGTTTCTTCAATAAAATACTTCATCATGAACGATGAAATATGATTTGAAAGTGTTTCAAACCAATGCGACAATAAATTGCACACTTTTGAGAATTAACAGAAAAGAGAAAAGAATATAATTGATCAGATACTTTTTTATTGTTCGTTCATGATGTCCTCCAATAAAAATTAATCTCTTTATCTTATTTAATGATAGAGTAAGTATCTTCTCTCTGCCTTCAATCATAATTATATTGTTTTATCAAACGTAGATATTATCATATCTCTTGATGTGACAAACATATTCTCATCAAGCTATGTTTATGTACTTGTATATCTGTTTCTCATAATTTTTTTCATGGTCAATTAGTCAAATGAATAGAATATCAACCATTTTCTTTTTTTCCTTTTTCTCTCTCTCTCTCGTCGCGTGTGACGATAATTCTTTCTCTGTCTCTCTCTCTTCGCGGGTGAAGATAATTTATTCGTTCATTCATATAAAAAATCATTATTGTATAAATATCAAGTCAACTTTAAACCATTATTTTACATACTGTTATCATCAACAACTATATTGTTTTAATTCAATATTATAAAACTCTGGTACAGTACAGTTTTATCTATACTTTACTTCGTCGTGAATTGTATAATTCTGCTTGTCTAAGAAAAAAAGATATTTATCAACACTCTTATCAATCTTATCAATCTTATCAATCTTATCTTGTTTTGTTTTCTCAAAGTGTGTTTACTGTTTGTTTGTAGTTATTAACACCTTTCGATAGAAAAACTGCGAGTGTTGTTATCATTTTATTAACATAAAGCGGTTGATTTTCAAAACTGATATATCGTTATTGAAGTTAATCATGATGATATACTCGAAAAGTTTTCTTCTTTTGCTCTTCTTGTTCGGTGTCGATCGAATTCTCGCTATAAAAAGTAATTTTCTAGAGGTAGTTAAGAATAGTACTCTTGTACATCACAAACAAACGAATACTGTTTGGGAATATTTGGGTACATATGCTCAAACAGATGATACTATTAATTTTATTCTAGAAATTCCAGTATTTCAGTTCATGTGTGATGTTTTTCCGATTTCAATGGCTTTCGCTATGAAGGCTTGCACACAATATCGAACTCGTCTTTTAGAGAACGGAAGTGCACGTCGATTGACGGAATTAGTTGAGGCACGTGTTGGACAACGAGACAAACGACAAATAGGAGAATTTGCCTTAGGCGCATTCGCTACTTATAGTGGATATAGAATTATCGGTGATCTTTTTGGAGGAAAGAATGATGAAATAATAGAACGATTAGATAGAAGTGAAAGCTTTCAAAAACACCAAGAAACATTAGATGATGCACTAATTACATCGATTTTATCGTTAGAAGATAATAATCTAGTTATGTTGAAAAGTTTCAAGAACTTGTTTGATAGTGTGAATGAAACACGTTCTTTGATTTATAATTTGTTAAAGATGTCATTAAGAGAGCAGGGAACTTTTACAGGTTGGGCAAAATTTTCTTTGAAAAGTGAAATGCGTAGACACTATGAACAAATAGTGGCTGCATTTACAAGAGTTGGAAATCATGATTTGAATCTCGAGATGTTTTCTCCAGAACAGAGAACATTCGTTCACGAGTTTTTGTGGCATCGCATTCAAAAACTTCTGCCAGAAAATTTTTCGATTTCTTTAGCTCAGTTTGTGCCTAATCTTTTAGTGCAACAGATAATATCTTTTTCTCAAGTGAATGAAAGTGAAATTGTATACGAATTGAAAGAAGATGATTTTAATTTTGTTGTTGAAATCGACTCACATGATATTGTTACTAGGAATGAAACAATTGACCTTGATTCGATACTTCCAAAAATTGTAGGACATGCACGAATTGAAAATTTTTTTGGTATTCCGACAAATTTCTCTCATAAAAAAATGGATCTGTTTAAGATAACACGTCTACCAATGTTTGTTGAGGGAAAAAAAGCTGTGTATATAGCAAATCTTCCTCAATATTTATCGTTAGCTGAAGATGGAAGCTCCTCGGAGTGGTCTGAGCATAAGGATCGAAAGTGCACAGTTGATGAACAATCAAAATATATGTTTTGTTCTGTTCCATTGCCTGTATTTAGTTCTATTCAAAATGCTTGTCTAAGGTCCATAATATTGAATATATCAACAACTGATTGCTTAAGAGAAACAGTTGATTTATCATCTCCTTATGTTCTTAAATTAGCACCTAATATACATGCAATTAGCGTCTACACATCGTTACAATGTTTTGAAAAAGGTGACAAAATAAAAAAAAATGTGTTCAGTAATGTAACGAAAGTAGCTATTATTAAAACTCATTGCAATAGTTATATATCCTGTGGTGCGCTTGATTTTCAATCACTAGGAGGCGTTTGTGATAGAGTTGAAAGCTACGTATTCACTTTTAATACTAGTTATGAACATATATATAGACTTGACAAATCAGTAAATCCCGTTGACGTTGAAATCAATGATTTAAAAGGGATAATGGATATTTCCTCTTTAATCGATTCAGCTCTTGCACAAAAAAGTCAGTTAAAAAATGCTCAGCTCGAATTTCAGTCAAATATACACCGTGTGATAAAAACAAAACTTTGGCCTAAAGTTTTGATAGGAATTTTTCTTTTTATTCTTATTGTAATCATCAGTATTATTGCTTATGCATCTAAACTTTTTTTGAAGAAAATTACATGTGTCAGCAGCTGTCGAAAACTAATTGATTTTTTAATTCATATATGTTTTAAAAGAAAAAAGTGTCAAGTTGCTAATTCATTACTTGATATAGACGGTGATATTATATCCATTGCAGAAAATGATACATCGTATGACAATGTACATCACGATAAAAAAACTATTGAACAATATCAACCCCTCTTGAACAGAGCTGTTTGTAATAATCTGCTTGTTCATCCATTGCAATTAAGTCGCACTACTAAAGAACTATCGTCTTTTAGTCCACCGACAATACTTGAATCTATCCCCTTGGAAACATTGATTGACTCATCCGATGTCTTGTCAACCAATATCTCATATAGAAAACCTTATCCACCACCAAGAAAAATTTATAATAATATTCGAGGATCTATCGATTTGACACCGAATCATTCGAGCACTACTTCCGGAGAATACTTTGAAGACCATGTTAGTTTGAATTAAAACTATATCGTTTTATTTGAGACTTACGAAAGTCAACCGCTTTTATTCAACTTTTTTATCATACATAATATGTTAAGTTAGCTTGTAGTTCATAGAATAAATCTCTTTTTACTCTGTAGTAGCATTTTTAATTTGTAAACTAATATCTCATTTTTGTTTACATTTGTATATCTCAATTTTGTAGTCTTTCGTTTAAATGATGAATTGTGAATAACATATCTTTATCAATAACTCTAATTTTTTCAATACAATGAAAAACTCATTGCTTGAGTTTCTTATTATTGTCCATTATTTCAAAAAGAAACAATAAAAATCTTCTCTTCGCAAGTTAATTTATAAAATCAGAACCAAACAGAAGCAATTCATAATTAAAAATGTATGGATGATATTTATATCCTACCAATGATATTAAAAATACTTATTAATCAACAAGATCATCATCATCAAAGTGTTCCACAAATGATATTACAACATTTTTCGACTTAGAAACTTCTTACAACTATAAGTAGTAATACTCATCCACTCTGTCATTTTCTTATTAATATATTCTTATAACATCTAATAGATTTTCTCTAGCATTGTAGTTTTAATTTTTTTTATGTGATTTTCATTTATCACTTCATGTTGCAATAATAGAATATTAGTTGCTTGTATCCAAAACAACTCTCAAACAATCTATGTTATTTATATACCAACTCTTCCATTTCGTAACACAAAATATATTGTTCAACGAAATATTTAGGAAACAAAATATGAAACTTGCTCTTTATATCATATTTATTAATAATATAGTTTCAATAATAACATTAAAAATAAAGGAAAAAAACACCAAATGATAGTGAAGTTTAAAAAGTTGCCATTGTTTTCTCTTTCGTTCCAATCATCAAACTTGGTTTTATTTGATTTCTTCATATAATTCTCTATTATTAGATCTAATGACAATGTTGTTGTTGTTGTTGTAGAACTTGGTGGAGTTGTTGATCGATGTAAAACATGTATTTTCATTTTGCCTTGACTTTTACCAATTACAGATAGAGGATACACAACATTAGGTATAGATGCTTTAGAAAAAAATCAACATCAATTTTATCCCAAAAGGATTAAAAAAAACTTACTATTAATAAACCAGATTCCTGTATGATTTTCTCCAAAAGTTGATGCTTTTGGAGAAAAAAAGATAATTGTAAGAATCAAATATTGCCACATAATGTTATGAATAAGACAATGTCATCGAATTCGTAATTTATATATAGAGAATTTCTCTATATCTAATGTCCGTCGTCAAGGAGATATTTCTCGTTCTGACAACAAAATTTCTCTATTTTTCTTTTCTCACCTTCATTCTTAATGAGCACATAATTTTCATATCTTTCGTTTATCAATCAGATGCTTATATTTATATGTTATCTTGAATAACAAAACTGTCTAGCACAACCATATTTATATTTTCGAATTTGTACAACATATCTTAATGAACTATTTATTTTTTTT